AACAGATAAAAAAAAAATAAAAAAAGCTATAAAAAATAAGTATATATCAGTATATATTTATATAGATCTAATAAAATATAAAGAAAAATAAAAAAAAGATTAAAAAAAAAACAAAAAATCATATTATTATAAATATGTTTTGAATTATAGATTTTAACAATATGATTATAAAACAAACCCTGCATATTATTATATATATATTTTTTTATTTATTAGCAATCTTGCTAGTATTTTTATTAAATCAAAATATATATATATATATATTCAACTATCAAAATTATAGATCTAACATACACAGGTCGAAATAAAGCAGATCAGGTCCATATTGATATATTTTAACTCCCAATATGAACCTGATATCTGCAGAAATTTGGCACAAATCAGGCACCTATAAAAGACCAATCAGGGTTATGCCAGCATAACGAAATATCAGATATGCTAATAATATATAGGTAAATCGATATAGCTATTGAAAAATTATCGATAGCTATATCAATTTATCTATATAGCTATCAGCAATCTGATATTTCATTATGCCAGCATGACCTTGATTGGTCTCCTATAGATGCCTGATTTGCACCAAATTTTTGCAGATATCAGGTTTATATCAAAGTTAAAATATGCCAATATAGACCTGATATGCTTTATTTCAACCTGTGATACCTTTAAAAGTATCCAAGAGCAGTCTGCCATATCAGTTAAAACATTTACCCACACCAGAAGATTAAACCAAATTAATCAGCAAAACATACCAAAATGGTTTCGATTTATTTATAATAAAATTTTTGATTGATTTAAACCGAGTACTCTTTGTTTCTTTTTTTTTCTTCTCTTACTTTTTCCTATTTCTTCTTTTTTCTTAATTTTATCCTTAGTTTGATTCTAACTCTCAAAATCCTTCCCTGTAATTATATTTGTCTGCTTTATATTAGCACTTGAACCTCTGGTTTTGACCTTTTTGCTTTTTTTAATTTGACATTATATCTTCTTTCTTTTTTTATTCATTAACAACCACACATCTTTGTTTCTATATATTTTCATAAAAATAATTTCAAGCCAGGTTTACTGCAGTTTCCAAGTAGTTTTTTGCTTCTTTAAAAGGTTTTATCATGTTAAGAATCTTTCTGAAAACCTCTTCTTATAATACAAGCACCAATGTATCTTACTAAAATACAAAATATTATTAACTTTTACAGTCTAAATCAAAAATATAAATAAATAACTTAAAAATTTGTATATAAACTTACTATCAATACTAGAACTCCCGCAACAAGTAATACATATCCTACCAATGCCAATAAACAAAGTAAACTTAAAATTTTGTATATAAACTTACTATCAATACTAGAACTCCCCGCAATAAGTAATACAATCCTACCAATGTTACCAATAAACAAAGTATCAAATATGGTCCACGAAAATCCGTATCGATCAGATAATAATAAAACAATAATAATTGTAAAACATCCAAAGACATATGGTGGAACAGAAAGAAGTTGAGAAATAACTAAAAAAAGTAAGTTAAATTATTGTTTGTAAACAACAATCAAATGAACATTATAAACGAAAGTTAAACATACCAGAATCAAATCCCAAACCATTTACAATCGCTTGAAGAAAGAAAGAGAAAGCATGTCCAGTAAGTGACGTAGTAAATTGTATAAGTGAAGCTATGTAGACTTTCTCACGAGCGGAATAATAAAATAAATTAAGAGCATGAAATGATTTTAACCTATTTACACGTAATATCTGTGAACCTACCCAATCCTTAAAAGCTTCGAAAATCCGAGATTTATCTAAATCAGTTGTATTAGTATTAATGTGTCCTGAATCAAGCTGTAAACGATTAATAACTATCTTTCGTTCATTCTCTGTAATCCAAGTGGTGGTTTCTGGATAACTCGAAATTAAATAATAAGAGAAAAGCGCAACAAAAACCATTGCCAGGTCATCAATGAGGAAAATCTAATTTCAACATAAAAAACAAATTCATAAATTGGATGAATCTACCATTTTTTTTAATAAAGAACCCATAAACGTAAAGAATTTATACGTACCCATTGCCAACCTTTACCATCCAAACCCATAATAACGAATGCCAAAAGTCCACTAAATGCACCAGCAAACATGGTACCAGCGAAAAACTGCTCGGAATTCTTATACCATTTTGTAATATAATATAGTACACCAGGAAAAACACCGGCCACAAAAATACCTAATAACAATCTCAATGCCAATTAATTGAAGGTAATTTTTCACCTTAAGAAAGATAATTCAAAATCAATGATTACTACGGCTAGGAGATAAAATGTTTAATACGGTACTTATGAATGACATACCACCATTACGACACCCCATCCGAACATGAGTGATGCAACTAACAAATTAGAAATGGATAAGGTACAATAATGTTTAAATTTTTGAAAAAATCAGCTTACTCTAAATTGAAGGTTTGACTTTGACTAATATGATATTGGATGGTACTTCAAATATTACATAAGTCCTACAAGGAAAATAAAAGTTTAATCAAAAAAAGAGACGAAAAAAATAATTCGTTTACTATGAAAAAAAATAAAGACATACGTACACAAAAAATATACCTAAAGACCAATTATATTGACCTCAAAGTAAACCGAGATCGCGTTCTAAGTGAGCTAGTTTTGCATTTCCAATATTAACTCTAACAAAAAAGATACCATGATTAATAGTTTAAAATTACGAATTAATAAATAGACTTAAATACCTGTCTAAGTAACAAAGGGTATAAAGAAGTCTTAATCTTTTTCATCAACATTTGTCGCGATTTCAGTTGTTTTTTTCATATTATCATTTAAATTGTTTATGTTACGTATCTTATGTGAAGTTTTTAAAGGATCAAAACTAAAAGCACTCGCGATGATAATTCAGTCTCTTTTAAAGTGAAACAAACACTTAAGCAATCAGATTCATTATAATAGCAATAACAGCAATATCGATATACATAAACTACATAGCAACACCTTAAATAACCATAAAATTTCTAATTTCTACCCGGTATTGTAATTATATACTATATATATGAGTGTATACTATATGAGTGTTGTCAACTGTCATCAGGCTTTCAATGTTCAGTTTGTTTACTGAGTCCGTCCAGGGAAGATTTATCATCGGGCTTTTAATTATAGTTTGTAACAACTTGTCACAAAATATAATTGGAAGCCCGATGATAGATTTTTCCTAGGCGACACTCAATAAACAAACTGGACATTGGAAATCCGATGACAGGTTTTCCCTTGGCAGTACAGTATTAAGATGATATCGATATATACACATGATTAATTACGTAACATCAGAATCCATCAGGGGCTAAACTCGCCATAGTGAAATCTTCAAGTATTCACTTCCAGCTTTTCGCTCTGCAGCACTCATATATTTAAAAACAAATTTAACTATTCGGACTTTTAATCATCACCTGTTTTAATCGGTGAAAAAGTGCTTAAAACTGTTTTTTATTACCTTACTTGGCAGCACTCATGTGTAATAATAAAATGACGGTATTTGAAGGCCGGAGCCCTATGTATCAGTTTCAATGATAATTATATCAATAAGTGTGAGGGACCAACTCGAGGTCCAACTTGAGACAATAATAGTGATTTGATACCTTTTGACTATTAATGATTAATAATCAAAAACTCTCCAATCGTCTCAAGTTTGACCAAACCTCAAGTTGGACCCATAATAAATAAAAAAATAGGTTTGATATGATAGATATAAAATTAAAATATCACAATTAATACACATCACATCCGTATACAAAAATCATTCAAGGAGATTTATACTATTTGGCACGAAGGGCACTTTAATCCACAAAATACGATAATACTAATTAAATATTGTAATCATTATTTAATAATAAAATTAATTTACGATTCATAAATTTTAATTCATATATTTAAAAAATTTTATTTATTAAATAATAGTTTAATTAGTAGTAATATATATTTATATACAATATATTAAACACGATAACATTACCGTTAAAAAAATCTGCAATTAGTGATGATGTTTGATTTTAATAGGCATTACATCTAATGTAACGGTAATCATCGTTGTTAAAATTTCTGATTTAATTTTGCATCGCATCAATTAATCAATATGCCAATAAATAATCTAAATACGACCCACTAAAGGAAGACTATTCCATAACTTCATATACCCACTAAAGGAAGAAAAACAAAGACTATTCTTATTAATTAGAGTTTTTTTAAAAAAACGCCAAAATGATTTTTACTTTTAAAAAAAATCGGCTAACGCGGAGTTAGGATTATAGTTACTTTTTTGATGAAAATAGTTATTTATAACTTATGCAGTATGTAGATCATATATCGAATTAACTTCGCGCCTAAATTGATCCTTTTGAAGGAATAGAATATACTAGCTCTCAGACCCGGGCGTTGCTCCGGAGGCTTCGTTTTAATTTTTTTTAATTCCTAACTTTTTAAATATTAA